AAAATACATCTGGCCCTCCATGCGAACAGATGTAATTGAATGGGCGCGAAATTGTTTACCATGTGTTGTGTATGAACCAATATGGCAACACTGTTTTGTGGAGTTCGACAGTTTATGATGTTGACTAAGTAGTGTGTGTTAGTAGTTTTTTAAACATCAAGTTACCTTAAGCAAATGGAGTATTATAACTTGAATTAATAAATAAAGTAGAAATATAACGAGAAAAAATACACAGACATAATACTTTTCGGTCAATTAAAATTGATATTCCCCACAACTATTTCGACCATGTACATATCCACATGATTGTGATGCTAATGGACAAATGGTACAGCTATTGTTTAACAATGATCGATCGTTTCTCAAGGTGGCTTAAAGCTATACCATTAAAAGATATTACTGCAAACAGCATAGTATCTGCCTTTTGGTCAAACTGGGTGGCGAGGTTTGTATGCCCGCAAACGATAACAACAGATCGGGGCCTACAATTGAAATTAGCATTTTTCAAAGCTTTGACAAAAGTGATAGGAGCAATACAAATTCGCACCACGGCATACTACCAACAAGCGAACGCTATGATTGAACGTTGACACCGTTCCTTAAAAGTAGCACTAATATGTCACGAAGCAGAATCCTGGATAGAATTACTACCAACAGTCCTGCTAGGCCTACGAACGTGCTTCAAGAAGGATTTGAAATCTTCAGCTAGTGAGGAATCCCAACAATGCACCACCCCGAAGATCTTTATAGAAGAGTTTCGCAAACACATGCGATTAGTACGATCGATTTCCGTAACATATTACCGAAACAATGTTTCATTTGTGTTAAAAAAATTTATAACTCCTCGCACATCATGTTTAGGACTGATGCTGCTCGTCGTCCTTTGGAACCAATGTACTCTTAACCATTCCAGGTACTCAGTAGACCAACTGACCGTACTTTCGTTATCGATATGCAGGATAAAGAGATCACAGTTTCATCAGAAAGACTCAAACCTGATTTTATTACTAAAGACGTGAGGTTTTCAGAATTGACAATACTGGAAGGGGGTATTGTGGCAACAGTACGAACGGCAACCCTTACAAACAGTCGATTGTCACTTTCACAAATGGGATACATGTGGCAACTCTAAATAAGCATGTGAAAACAAGAAGCACATGTTTATATTCGAAAGTAGTTTTTATTACAGTATTTATTTTGTATGCTTAATATACCAGTTGACTAAAACAACAAATATCTTTAGGGTGGTTTTTATTCCGAAAGCAGGAAAGCTTAATCACTCCACTGCAAAAGATTACAGACCAATTAGTCTCTCCTGGTTTATTTTGAAAATACCAGTATCTGCACAATGAACATGGCACAACACGCCTACCGTGTTGTGCCATATTCGGAGGCCAAATATCTTGGCATCGTCCTTGAATCCAAACTTAATTGGAGAAGGAATATTGAGGAGAGAACTAGGAAAGACTAGCTGCATATTATGTCTACAAAAAGAAATTTGGGAAGTGATAGGGATTGTCACCGTACGTAGTGTACGAAATGTACACGACGACGTTGGATAAAAAATGCTGTACAGCCCGCATCGAAGAAACACAGAGATTGGCTTGATTAGGTATCAACGGAGCAATCAATAGTACGCCTGAAGACGGGTTAAATGTAATACTACATATTCTACCACTGTGGGTGTTTATTCAAGGCTGTGTTGCTAAAAGTGCTCTCAGGCTTCGAGAGTCTAAGATATGGAAACCAGCTAACTACGGACACCGTACAATTTTAAAGGAGATTAGAAGGAGAGGTCATGGCTCAGTCAAGGCGGATCCAGATTCTTCTGCAGACTACACGACACCAATACTAGATTCAAATACCAGAATTCCCACTCTTTATGCAACAAGAGATAGCTGGGAGTTTGGATCTGTGACAGGTAACTTTGCAGTTACAATCTACACAGATAACTCAAAGATGGAGGGCGGAACGGGAGCAGGTATCTTCTCAAAAGATATGCAGATACGGCTATCCTACCGATTCCCTGATACTTGCAGCGTCTTTCAGGCCGAGATACATGCTATCAATCTGTGACAGGTAACTTTCCAGTTACCATCTACACAGATAACTCAAAGATGGAGGGCGGTATGGGAGCAGGTATCTTCTCAAAAGATATGTAGATAAGGCCGAGATATATGCTATCAAAAAAGCGGCCAACCTCATACAACAAAGCACAATTCGGCCCTCGAGTATCACGATTTTTGTAGATAGTCAGACCGCACTGAAAACATCAAATATCACAAGGCCTGTGTTTACTGGGGTTCTGGACATAGTAATATTGAACGAAATGAACTAGCAGATGCGATCGCTAGAAGAGTTTCTGAACTGCATACAAGAGAGTCCGACCTCTCAATACATACACCGATATGTGAACTGTTTAAGATAATAGAGGAAATTACTAGAGGCCATGAGGTTGCTAAAACCTTTTACGAAATCCTTTTAGGCTTCAGCAAACTTGAAGTTCGTGGAAAAAGATAACGAAAGCAAACTTATCGGATCTCCTCAACTTCATTTGAAAAACCAAATAGTTTAACAAGGATTGTGAGGACATCACAATAGGCAATATATGCCTCCGAGTGGAAATGCTGACAACTGCCAGCACACGCCTTCCGAACCTAACCTAACCTAAACAATATCTTTAACTTGAAGAATGCTTGGAAAGACAGTGAGGGTTTCTTTCACTTTTTCTTTACTTTTTACAAGATATGGGCAACTGCAGATATACTTGGACCTCGATTATAATCACCTAAAAAAAAATCTTCTAAAGACACAAATGGCCCGTACCATTTGCAAGCCCACCATCATACATGATATTCCAAAGAATTGGCCCTAGAACTGATCCCTGGGGAACCCCTCCCGTAATCTTATATGTTTTGGGTCCGGAGTCTGTATCATATAAGAGCATTCTGTCTTTAAAATACGATGTAATTATTTTTAAAAGATATTCTGGGACTCTTATTTTCATCAGTGCATTTAAAATGCTAGTCCACTCAGCAGCGTTGAAAGTATTTTTAACATCTAAGGTCACCACCGCGCAGTATTTTTTGGTACCACCTTAAGCCCTTAGAAGCTTCCTTTGCAATGTTAGAACATATAATTCATTCAAGTGCCTTACTTGCAGTGTCCAGTACGCATAAAGGTCTATAAGACGATGGTATTTCTGAGAGCTTATTACCTTTAGGAATAAGCACCAATCTTTGCTTTTTCCAACACGAAAGAAAAGTTAATTCCTGTGGGCAGCTGTTGAATACATCCCTGAATACAGAAATTTGTTTTTGCCTTCTTCAATACGGTATTGGGGATTCCATCCAATCCAGGAGATTTATTGGGTTTAACTCTGGAAGAAGTGAAATCTGTAACCGGTGGAATCTCATTTAAATCGTTGATTATCGGTATTAAGATTCTAAGTTCTCCCTTTTTTGGGAACAAGTGTTTAACAATATTCGCCATTATTTTTGGACACGAAGGTACCGATCCTCTTACCATCTGAAATTTACGCATTACTATTTTGTAGCCATCGCCCCAAACATTTTGGTCTACATCATTGATCAGAGTTTGAAAAGCTATAATTTTATTCCTAATAATTGCCTTTTTAAGTTTAGATCTGCTCTCTCGGTACTTTTGTAGAAGCCTTTCCGCATCTATTCCAGATCTGTGGCGTTGGAACTGTCTACGGGAGGCAAGGCATTGAGATCTTAGTAAAGCTATTTCTTCCGTCCACCAATAGTTTGATACGCGCCCATTACTTCTGCCTTTTCTTGGCATCGATGCATCGCAGATGTTGCATAGTTCTTTCATAAGATGATTTGATTTTTCAGAAGCATCCCCAACTCCGAAACTCATGTTTTCGGTCATGAATTCCATTACCTCATTGTTGAGATACTTTGTTTTCCAACCTATTTGTTCTGCTTTTCTCTGCGATTTTTTTAAAGCAAACCTCTCTTTTAACGATATGGAAAAGCAAATGGCATTGTGGTCGCTGTGGGTGTATTGGTTTGGTACTTTCCATTGCGAACACCTTACTAATGACGGGCTGACGAAGGCAAGGTCTATGTAGGATACGCCTCTACCATTATCGAACGTTGGGCTATGCCCATTGTTCAGTTGTGTTAAGTTTAGTGAGGTGAATGTCTCTAATAGGGCTCTACCTCGACACGATTCTATCCGATTCTATCAAGTAGTAGACCTTCCTTTTGTACCAATGCGCTTGGTTTAAACATTATGTTCTGTCCTAGTCAAATGGCTGTCTTTTCAGAAGTATCTTGTACCCATTTAGAGGTTTCTTCTGATTTGAAAAATTCACTAATTACTAGTACATCTGATTTTAATTTCAAATCTGTTTGGGATTCAAATCTGTTTGGGCAGCCTCAAATCGATTTAGGTTCAATTGCAGAAATTTTAAATAAATCGATTTAAATAAAAATTAAAACTTTCGGATATTTTGTTTAACTTGAGAAACATTTGGTCCGCTGCCAGAAAGATCTTTTAAACGATCTTTTGCAAGTTATTTGAGTGTGGGGTGCTAAAAGACGGTTGTCAGAATTGCAGTATACAAGTAAACCTCTTTATCAGAAGATATGATAAATCGAGATATATATCGTCACTGTGTGAAGATATGCATTGATTTTGTTGCACACAATAACAGAGGGTGGGGTTTATAAGGGGGGCAATAACTGATTTAGAATCAAACACTATAAAGCTATAGCTAGTGGAAAAACAAAATATATCGGACTATAAATTTATAGGAAAGCGTTATGAGACGATAGATGGAAAGCAAATTTTCTAAAAGATAACCCAAAATCACTTAATAGTTTGAAGTATGTTTATATCATATAATGTAGATTACTCGTATAATTTGAGATTGACATACTAATTGATGATACTTAACGAGCACAACACATATATATACTGATAAACAAATATACCAATTATTTTTTTCGGTATTATATTTAACTTACTGCATGTTTTGCATGAGTTCATCAATTTTATTATTTTCTTTACAGAAGTGAAACCAAAATTTGTGCGGATTATGGATCTGCAAAAAAAAAAATTTAAAGTGAAAAATGATTAGAACAAAAATTTCATTACACTTTATTTGGTTAATAAATTCATAAAAATAATTATTAATATTTAATGAACTATTTTATTTCCAATAATTTATTTTATTATATATCGAGTGCTTCCCAGACTAAAAAAAATGTTATTTTTTTTAAAAATATAAGACAATTGTGTAATAAGAAATAAATTATATATAATATAGCAATATAAAATATATAACAATGCCCCATTTGCATTAAAGTAATTATTTAAAATTGATCCCATACCCTGGTTGGAACGACCTTCGTTGGCATTTGCTGTCAACTGTTTATTATCGAAACGTACTACCATGATTTTCAAAGTTAGCTATTTCTTCCCTTTTAATCTATTAGTGTTCATATGTAATTACGCGATACACAAAGTTGTCGAAAATTGCACCTGCAAGACACCGCATTAATACTTGACTCCACTCATGCAGCATCATAATGCTTTCGTTAGAACTGGTTAATACGAAGCTAATAATAATACGAATCTGATTATGGTATTAGCAGTGCGTCTCATAAAAATTCGGTTATGTTCCCGATATATATATATAAGGCAGTCGGCTAAAATGCCTTAGCTATAAGTTATATATAACTATATAATATAATTGTATTAATTTCTATGTAATACAACAAACTTAAAATGAAGTAAAAATAAAGCAAATAATACTACTATATATATGTAGCCGTCGATATTCTCAATAATCATGCCAGGGACACATTCCAATGACGAATCTGGATCCATGTCATTACAACAAATTTTTATGTGATTTAAGCAACATAACTTACACCCAATTTGTTACGGCGCGGCCGCCAACGAGGCATGAGGCCAGCCTACAGATCAAAGATACTTTCTCAAGCTGACGACTTCATCAACGCTCTCCACCACTTTGACACGGCCGCCAACGAGGCATGAGGCCAGCCTACAGATCAAAGTTACTTTCTCAAGCTGACTACTTCTTTAACGCTCTCCACCACTTTGACACGGCGCGGCCGCCAACGAGGCATACGGCCAGCCTGCACGTCAAAGTTTTTCAAATCCTGCATTGCTTGCCAAAAGTTCACTGCCACAACAAAGCACCTCTTCAACAGTATCTAGCTGCTTCGTCTCGCTTCGACCACGTCAACCAGGAAATTGTCGGACCACTGCCATGCTCTAGAGGTTTTCGTTACGTCACAACCCCTCAGACAGAATTCGTGACTAAACTGCAAAGATTTATGAACGAGACTTACTTCTTTTCATTGAAAAAAAATCTTTATCCCTCGGATCAGGTTTTCGTCAAAAATTCTATGATTTGTGAACCACTACAAGCTCCATACGAAGGTCCGTTCACTGTACTTAAGCGTTTTGATAAGTATTTTGTCGTGGACATTAAAGGAAGAAAAGCCAACATCTCGGTGGACCGCCTCAAAGCAGCCTTCAGTGAGCAATATGTTAAGAAACTAGAAGTTAAGCCCTTAGTCACTGACAAGCACGATCGTAAGGTACAAACTTCGCGTTAAGGGGAATAATGTAGCCGTCGATATTCTCAATAATCACAGTAAGCTGGATTACAATTCAAATATATTGACATTAGAAAATTTGGAAAATTTTAAAAAGAAAATTGTTTGCTAAGAAGTTTTAAGTTTCCGGCTTAACTAAATAAATAGAACGTAATAAATAATTTTCAAGTTTAAATATAGCTTCTGTGTTTCAATTCCGTTCAAGTACAGAAACCACGCTATATATATGTAAATAATTTAATTTATTTAATATATTTTGTTAATGAACTTTTATATATATATATGTTCCATATTATATTAATATGAAAAAAAGACAACTTTCTACATACTTAATCAAAGCAACTTTTTCAAGCAAAAGAGTCTGGTTTCAAAACCACACATATTTACACAGTGATCAAACAAAATCGAACGCACGTATTAATGTGCGACTAACTACTGCGCACAACTAGCGGAAAGTCAAAATGTAATAGAAATACCGTGATGTGAGCTGCAAAGTTTACCGCACATCTAACCGCTTTGCCAAATCAACATGTTTGTTTCATATATAAGCAGTTCATATTCGAATAGAACAGAATAATTACTTTCATATATTTCACACTATATAAATCTCTATTTCCCATATTTTATGCGAGAGCACACGCATTTATTTTGTTCCCACATTTGTTTTGTTTTTTTCGCACAATTAACAACGACAAATTTGAGAATGCAATTGCTTAAAGATATACGAAATATAAGTAAAAGTTTTGTATTTCTACTTTATTTACTCACGTTATAATAATACATTTGCTTAGTTTAAATTAATGTCTCATATTAGGACTCCCTTTAGATTCATTGTTTTCTGCTTGAAGTGGGTCCTCTCTGTTGTCACCGTTACTTTTGAACTAATATTTTGATGCACAATATTCTTCCGTTAGTGTATTTCTAATTGGTCCATTTGCAGCTCTTCGAATTTGATTTATGCGTCTCTTTACTTCCTTTCCATTAAAAAGTATTTTATAGTGAAGATCACCTAAACGTGAATTAATTGTTCCTCTGAACCATTTATGCATTCGCGGATTGTTCGATAAGAAGTACACGCTTTGGCCTGGTGGGAATCCTTACACCTATTACCAGATTGACACTGCATTTACTGCTTTTTTTTCACCTCCTTTACGATTTCCTCTGGCCGAATGAGATCTAAGTGTGTTGGCAGTTGTCGTCCCAAAAACAACTGAGCTGGCGAGAACTCTGTAGTTTAATATGGAGCATTTTTGTACATATTGCCTTAAGAACTCGTTCACATTTTTCTTTAAAGACTTGCTTGTTGTGCCCATTGCCTTTAGTGCATTTTTGATTGTTTGTACGCTACGCTCCGCCAAACCGTTACTAGCTGGATGATACGGAGCTGAATATTTATAATATTTTACACCAACTGTTGTGAGGAAATCGTTAAACTCTATAGAAGTAAAGTTCGTTCCATTGTCAGAAACAACCATAAGAGAAACTCCAAAAGCAGCAAATACAATTACTAGTAACATCACCCTTTCAAATGGCCCTGCATAGTGAATATGAATATGCCCTCATGGCCCTTTTGGGTATTCCCAATGGTGTCTATCGCATTTCATTGGCTTATTTGCTTGTTTCGCGCACTCATCACACTCGTTTATATTCTCAATATCTTTGTCTATTCCTGGCCAATATATAAAAGAACCAGCAATGCCCTTCATCTTTACCATTCCTAAACGCGATATGTATAGTTTCTTTAGTAATCTTTCTCGATAATGTGGATGGATAACGACCCGGTGTTCGAACGTCAAGCATCCTGATGATAACACGTACCTCACTTCTGGCGATTTGTAGCCTTCTCTCTTTAAAGACCGGTCACTTTCCAGTAATCTGATTATCTTGCCTAGGTGCTTGTCCTTTCTGGTTTCCATTGCAATACGGTCTGCTTTATTTAACTGATTTATTTGGCAAATCATGAAGTTATCGAAGTCATCACATTCATCTGAATGAGTCGTTACTGTTTGTTGCAATTGGTTTATTTGTTGCCATTGTGATAATGGAAGGGAAGAACGTGCTTTTGAATTTTTGTATATAACTTCGTAATCGAATCTGCTTAAAAATTCTGCATAGTTAGTCATTCTATTTATGCATAATACTGGAAGCGACTTACTGGGTTAAGGAATCTGTGATAACGGTTTATCATCCGTGCTGCCACACAATTGCTAGTGCCTCTTTATTAATTTGTGTATATCGCTGTTCCGGAGCAGTCATCGTTCAACATGCATAAGCAATTGATCGCTCTACACCATTTTCTGAACGATGTGACAATACAGCACCTAGATCCGTTCGGTTTGCGTCTGAAACTTCACAGGTGTTGTGGCGAGCACACACTTCGACTTATTCAGACGCAGACCATTTAACTTGATACCGCCTAGAGAAGTTTCTAAAAATTGTAACAATTCGACGAAATTCTGAGCAAATATTAAGATATCGTCGAAAAAAATTTAACACGTTCGTCATACCGTGTAGTACTGTCTCCATTCTTTTCTGCCATATCGCTCGTATGTTTGCTGCTCCATAAACTGTACGTGTTGGACGTACTAACTCATGTGTGATTGTGTTTAGAATTAGTATATGTGCAAATTCTTCGTCAATTGTAAGATGGGTGTATGCATCTGTTACATTAAGATAACAAAATATTGTTTTTCATTTTATCAAATAAATCTTCCGCTTTCGCAATTGAATGTTCATCAATGATCATTTGCGAGTTAACTGTAGATTTGTAATTGCCTGTAATGCGAATCCCATCATTTTTCTTTGCGAATAATATACTCTCTTGTAATACCCCGATTGAATCTTTCGATCAATTTCTTTGGCGTAAGCTTCTTTTAATGTCATTGGTCGTGCAAAGACTGGAGTAGCTCCTTTTTAAGATGTACTTTAGCAGGCGGATCACTAACCTTCCCGGCCGTTTTACTAAATACGTCCTTAAAACGCTCGATCAGTTGTTGAAGCCGCTCTCGCTGGTTTGTAGATAGTTCTCGCTCAAGAGGGTTTATTGAATTAATAGAGTTGGACGAAGAAAAAAGTTCAGAAAAGTTAATCTCTCTCGCAAATTCTGATATCCATTCCCTGCCGCAAAGTGTATCACAATCTCCTTGTACGACATACATACTTAGCCGCCGTACTATTTTACCCATTGATGCGGATACTATAATCCGTCCAACGCAATTAGCCTTATGACCTCATGAACTCTTAAGCAACTTGAAATTCGGTTTTATCGTTCGAAGAGTTCTGCAACTAATTACCGTGCATTATGCGCCGGTGTCTAATTCCATTTGAATTTCCTTTCCATCAATTTTTACAGGAACCATCATTCTTCCTACTGCCGTGAGTGCATTATTCTAAGTATTTGTTGGTCTAGTTCCGGTTCATCCTTTGCTATTTGGTCTAATTTTGTTCTGCATATTTTGGCAATGTGACCGACTTTCCCACAAGCAAAGCATTTGGGCTTACTGAACTTGCACTCTTTTCTTAGGTGCTGATCTCCACATCCATAACAATTAGCTGTTTTTTCTTTTGTCACCCACATCGCTTTTCCATTGTTCTCACTGATGTTACGGTTTGTTTCCATTCGGTCGCAACCTAGCTTATATGTTGGCTCACTTGGTTTCCCTAACTCTGCACTCTTGACGTCTGTTGTTGATTTTTGCTCTCGCTTGATTGTATGCGCAATTTCATATGCTTCAGTGAAAGCTTTTGGTTTTCTAATAACTATTTCATTACAAATAATGTGCGATTCAACTCCATATAGCAATCGCTCCATCAGCATTCTATCTAAGAACTCTCCATACTGACAGAATCTAGCACCGTCTTCTAAGCGAAGTACATACTTGGAAATTTACTCTCCCTTCTCTTGTTTAATTTGTCGGAACCTAACGCTTTCAGCGTACTTATTCCGTGTACCATCAAAATGATGAATTGAAATGTTTTTGTTTCGTTGTATGTGAGCATCTCAGGTGCAGTTAGGCTAGCGATAATTTTAAGAGCATCGTTGAGTTCTGCTCCCATGTGTACACGTACATACTTACCTTGTTCGTCTTCCGGTATCTTACTCAAATCTAGTGAGACTCATATTCCTGATCCCACTTCTGACACCACTTTTGTATTTCTACTTTATTTATTCACGTGATACTAATACATTTGCTTAGTTTAACTTAATGTCTGAAAAACTACTAACATACACTACTTAGTCAAAATCATAAACTGTAAAACTCCACAAAACAGTATTGCCATATTGGTTCATAAACAACAGAAATGTTCTGTGATTTGTGTTGCAAACTTATGAGCATATCTAACAATTATAGAAGCTAAAAGAAGAGAAATAATTGAATTTTCATAGACCATTCTATTTAATTGTTTTCGCTAAAACTTTAATCTTTATAAATATGTTATGTACATGTTATATGTAATAAATTATATTAATTCTGCATATAAAGATATTTTAATAAATGTTTAAGCATGGACAATAACAATAGTATAGGTAAAGGGTAATCACTGATTTCACAGATTTCGAACTCATCGCAAACATATTGACATTAAAGAGCATTCTATACTTACAACATAGAACGTTCGCCCGCTGTACAAGAATGTAGATGAACAGGACAGGAACAAATAAATAACGAAAACTCTGTTTTCGCCAACCTGAAGGCAAAAAGCATAGCCGCCGAGTTGTTCTTCTTATTACTAAAAGAATAGCAGAAGAAATTATTAAGTGGTTTCCTATCAACGAAAGGTTAAATTGAAATTGAATACACTAGCGTGAACTAGAATGCCTACGCTCCAACATAAGCAAAGTCTAGTGGCATTAAGCTTGTTTATTATGATCAGCTAAATAGTTGGATCAACAACAATTTTAACGCCCAGGTTGGCAGTGAAAACGCTAACTTGACTAGCTATATGGATGTACACGGCATTGGAGTTAGAAATTATAACGGTAGTAAATTGATCGCGCTCAGCTGTAAAAGAAAACTGGTAGCACGATTTTCCCACATAAGTACCAACATGAAATCACATGCGCGTCACCTGATGGTGGAATAAACAGTGTTTATTACGTTATTACATGTAAAGTCCTACCAAAAGTTGCAGCGCTCAAATCGAGCGGAACGAAACCAACACGCAAACTTGATATCTAAAAGCTAGAGGTAAATTCATGCCGAAATGCATTTATTCACTCCATCAGTAACTGCCTGACATCCAACATTAATATGAGAGTAATAGTATAGAAGAGATCAAAATTATAACTACATATAATGAACTTGGTCAACAAATACTAAATTTCAAAGATAAAAAACGTAACGTTTGGCTACACAGTCGATTGCACTGGTTGAGCAGCGCAGGACCCTAAAATGTGAAATGTTAGATGAAGATTTCGCTATTCTACGAGCAAGTTATTAAAAACTATCAAAAATAATCAAAAAGTCAGTTAGAAAAGACAAATGGTTGTAAGTAGAAGACCAAGCAGCAAAAGCTGAAGCTTTTGCTCACGTTTATGATCTCAAGACATTGTATGGGATAACGCGCGCACTTTACCCACTCATACAAATAGTCCCATTAATAGCAGTACCGGAAAAGTTCTTACTACTTCTAACGAGCAGCTAATGCGTTTAATGAAACTTTATAAGTTTACACTTAATAGCCTAATTGGACTAGCGCCTAGTGGTCGAGAAGAATGCCTGCCAACCACGTGGAATGAAGGTATCGTGGTCAAAATACCCAACAAAAGGAGAAGCAAAGGACTGCAATAATTAAAACGGTATAATGTTGCTCTGTATACCAAGTAAAATACTAAGTCATTTAACCGTTTCCAAAAAGCTTTTGACAGTATAAACATAGGTTGTCTGGGAAAAATTTTCGAGATGCAGCACATCGTTTCAAAAATTATAAACCTTATAAAAGCAATGTACTATGAGTTTAAATGCCGAGTGCACCATGGCGGACGATTATCTACCGCGTTTGAAATTGCCACGGGCGTAAAACAGGGCCGTATATTGACACCAACATTATTTATTCTTATGGTGGACGACATAATGCACCAGTCGCTGAGTGGAAGAAAGGGAATCTAGTGGAATCGCTTCACACAGTTAAAGATCTATAATATGCAGATGACGTCAGCCTCCTCAAACTTCTAATAATTTGCAAACGAATATTGATATCTTTTACAGTAAGTCTTTAAAAGCCGGATTAGAAGTCAGCATAAAAATTGGTGGCTAAAGCACCAACCCTACCCCGGTTGTAATTTAAATTAAACCAATTGAACAGCGAATATGTTAACACCTTCATTTACCTTGATAGCATTACCACTACTAAAGGTGGGGCTGATATGTACATATCGGTGTACATAAACAACGCTAAGGCTTCATTCGGCATGCTACGCTCTATCTGGAAATCTCGACATATCTCTGTAAAAAACCAAACTGCGCATCTATAATTCCAACATTAAACCGCAGATCTTTTGTAGATGTGAGACGTTGAAACACACTACCGTCATCGACATACGGCAAAAAACTTTTTCAACAAATGCTTCCATCGAATTCTCAACATCTGGTGACCTAATCATATCAGCAAAGCTAACCTTTGGGCTACCACCAATCAAATGTCAACTTCTAAAGAAGTATGCATGCGCAGATGGCGTTAGATTGGTCATATCTTTCGCAGACTCCCTGACAACATTGATCGTCAATTACTCAGATGGAGTCCCCAGGGAAGTGATCGTCGTTTGGAGCGCTTGCTAGAACATGGTGAAGGACTGTCAATGTAGAATTGCAAGAAGCAAATTATTCTTAGAATGACATCAACCGAGAGGTAAGCAATAGAGTTCGATACAAAGGAATGGTGAAAGCTCTATGCGAAGACGAAGATGTTATCATTATTTGTATGGGCACTCCATAACCTTACAATTAACAGACTATAAACCTCTATCAGTGTAAAATTTGCAATAACTGGTGCCACCTTTGACACCGTTCAGGTTTGCATAGCATACCTATAAAACTGCTCTAAATAGACATTCTTCATCTTCATTGACCTTTGGCCCTCCTTTTCCAATCATCTAGATCATTTAATTAAATTTTAAATAAAATTTTTATCTCTCCCAATTCTATTTCCACCTCGGCAGCACACACCAGATATTTTTCGCCGTTTAGATTGGAACTCCTGTTTTAAGTTAGGTGATTTGAATGGTCGCCAACCTCCGTGGTTTTCTAACGTACCATCTGATCATAGGGACCACATATAAGCAACCCCAATTAATAAATCCTTAATTGGTGTTTTAAATGAAGAATCGTCACCTTTGGTAAGTCCAACTTTAATTCCCCTGATGTCAGCCAAGACCAAGGATGTTTGGAATGTTTTTATAGCACTAAGCTGCGATAGCACTCCTATTACAATCATTATCTTATATATCTTATATATATTATCTTATATAAAGCGAACTGGGATGAACGATTTGGAGAAAACCATCTCCGAACTGCAAAATAAAAACCTGCTATGTCTGTGAAACATGATGTTTGTATAGAACTACAAGTCTGTTACAGGTGTCGGCGAATTGGAATTCATTGACGACATTATGGGCGAAAAATATTATATAAATATCCTTAAGTGTCATTGTAAAAACTGTACAAAACTGTGTAACTTAGGGAAAACCTAAGTTATATACACCATAATAAATACCACCGTAACAGATTTAAATATATAAGATGTAAATGTCACATTACACACTTGAATATGCAAGGGGGAAGTACTCAATTTACAGGCTTGATTATATTAGACATTAATACTGAGTTAACAGAAAAAACTTAAAATTATATAAATTTCTTTTCAATATATATAAAATAATAAAATATTAAATATTTACCTCGGTAATAACAACAGCTTCAATTGCGTTGATAGATACATTATCTGGTATAGCATAGCATTCAAGTTTCGTGCTGAATTCAATTTTTTGTGAAGGAAAATTAAAAACCGGCGAGTTAACCTAAAAAAAAATAAAAAACTTTGCAGTTTACTTGAATTACAGTTAAATACTTTAGTAAAGATTGTGATTGGCACATATCACTTTTTCTGTCCTTGCTTTCTTTCGATCATTTGCTACCTGTATCCGTCTAAACAGATAACAGTATACGTGCGACTTTTTTTGTTCTTTTACTCATAGCAAAAGTATGGTAATTTGCTTATGCAATACTCTTATGTGAATAAAATTCTTTCATTTTTATAATGAAAAAAATATGTTTCATTTTAATTTCCTAAGGATAACAAAATTAAAATAAACGTTATGAAAAAAAACTTAATATAAAATAAAAAATATGAAAACTTTACTTAAAACGAACCTTGGATTTTGTAATATGGATATTTCAATTTAATTAAATATGGCCGTATGGCGTCAATGGTTACATGAACATTGGTTTCTTATGCTTCAAGAGTTGCTGGTTTGTCGGCATAAAGCAATGACTTAACATAGCTCCATAAAAAATAATCGAGAGGATTTAAACGCACGAACGAGGGGGCCAGTTAATAGGACCACTTTTGGGAATAAAGTTGTAACTAAATTGATGTCTCAATAAATCAATTGTTAACCGCATTGCATGATCGTTGCATTTATATGTCTTCGATGTTCGATGTTTAACTGATTTTGTGACGTAGGTGTTAATCCTTCTAAGACAGAACTGTTACTGTTTACTAAAAAATATAAAATTCCTTACTTTCCACTGCCAAGATTAAATGGCCAAAGATTAACTCTTTCGCACAAAGTTAAGTATCTAGGAGTAATTCTTGACACAAAACTTAACTGGAAAGCCAACATCGACGAAAGAATTCGTAAAGCTTGTGTGGCATTCTATGTGTGCAAAAGGATGTACGGTAAGAGCTGGGGATTGCAGCCCAAAGTGATTCTCTGGCTTTACACAGCCGTCGTTCGGCCAATATTAACATATGGATGTCTGGTGTGATGGCTTTCGTTGAACAAACAGTACATTGTTCAAAGACTAACCAGAATGCAAAGATCTGCCTGTGTGGGAGCTACAGGGGCTCTAAGATCTTGCCCCACCAGTGCGCTCAATGTCATACTTAATTTGCTACCTATTGATATTTACATCAAGCAAGCTGCTACTCTCAGCGCGCAGAGGCTTAAAGATCTAAACTGTTGGCGCTCGTGTGCTTTAGGACATGGTAACATCACATCACTCTATCCGATAGATGATGCCAGGGATTCAGACTACCTATGTCCTCGGTTACTATTCGACAATAACTTCGCCACCAAAATTCCTTCAAGAGGGGATTGGGAGGCGGGATTGCTTACAAGTCCACGAAAGATAGCGATCTACACCGACGATTCTAAAATGGATAAAGGCGTTGGAGCCTGATTCTTTTCTACGGACCTAATGATTAGTAAATCATACCACCTTTCAGATTCCACCCCGATATTTCAGGCTGAAGTTTTTGCCATCCTTAGGGCAAGTGTTCTTGCTTTAAATATGCGCCTTCACGGAAAAGAAGTCTGCATTCTAACTGACAGTCAGGCAGCTATTAAAGCTTTATCAGCAGTCTGTCTGTCATCGAGATTAGTCGAAGAATGTAAGGAAATTATCAGTGAACTAAGTGAGAGGTCCAAGGTTACTTTAGTATGGGTTCCCGGGCATTCTAATATTGTGGGAAATGAGCGCGCTGGCGAGCTTGCTAAGCTAGGCGCCTCTTCCACGGATACCCCTATTTCGATCCCCGCCCCTGTCAGCTACGGGCGTAGGCTGATTTGTGACCATTTTTTGCGACAGGCAAATAGTGAGTGGACGCTTACTATCTCAGCAGCCAGGTCAAGGGCTACTTGGCCCATCTATTCCAAATATAGAACCTCTGACTTAATCTGTAGAAACAAATCTGAGGTTTCTAAGCTAATATCTGTCTTTACGGGTCACTGGTCCATAGGACGGCATGGAGCTAGACTTGGCCTTCCCTGTGGTACCTCATGTAGTGCGTGTCTACCAATACTTGATGAAATGACACCAGAACACCTGATGTGTTTTTGTCCAGGTCTGGCCAGAATTAGGTTTAAGTTTCTAGGGGCCTCTTTCTTCAACTCACTTAGCGATATCTCCAGCATCAGCATTAGCCAGATTCTTGCCTTTGTTAATGCCTCTGGTTGGTTCTAGTTTGACTCTCTATCTACTACCCACTATTACGAGGTTTTTGTGGACTCAAAACGGCTTTCATCCTTAGCTATTTGAGGAGGATTCGTCGTCCCTGCACCTCAACTATCTAACTATGAGACACTGTTTTGTGTTTTATGATAGCATTTATTATTTGTCATGAAAAGCATAAAAATTATAAGTAGAAATAGAATCAAGAGCGTAAGCGTTCGAAACGTTGTAATCGTTGAAATCGTTGAAACCGTTGAAAGCGTTGTGATCGTTGGGAAGCGTTGCAAGCGTTAGAATCGTTGAAATCGTTGTGACCGTTGGGAACGTTGAAATCGTGGTAAGCGTTGCAATCGTTGAAATCGTTGTGACCGTGGGAAGCGTTGTCAGCGTTGAAAGCATTGGGATCGTTGAAACTGTCAGGATCGTTGGAAAGCGTTGAAATCGTTGATGCGTTGAAATCGTTGAAACGTTGAAAGCGTTGGAGTCGTTGTAGCTAGCAATGTACAACCTGCAATGGTGCGAAATCAAAAATGCCACGTCGAAATCGTTGGACAGCGTTGGAAACGTTGGGAGCGATTGTAACCGTTGGGAAGCGTTGGAGTTATCGAAGTCAACAATGCTAAACCTGTAATGGTGAGAAATCACAAATGCCACGTCGAAATCGTTAGGACGCGTTGGAAACGTTGTGAGCGATTGTAACTGTTGAGAAGAGTTGGAGTTGTCGAAGTCAGCAATGCTAAACCTGCAATGGTGTAAAATCACAAATGCCCATGAAAACGTTGTTAAAGGTTTGGATGAAAATCCTTGCCAACTATAGCCAGGCAAAGATACCTTTCCTGGTGCTATGCCTGAACACGCTCGTCAGCAATTGCCAAATGCTGGTATATTCTGCACGTGTCCTAACAGTGTTGATGACTTGTCATCCATTGCTCCATCAGCTTTAGCCAGATGGTAATCCGGATGACTGGTTGAGTTGCCCTATGCCAGCTACAGCCAAGCAGGAGGCAACCCACCCATTGTCACTTCACCCAGACCTGTTCGTCCATCCACATGGTGATCGTCAGCAATGGCCTCATTCTATGTCGTTTTCCCTATATTTACTTTTATTATTAATTTAATTGGTGAGGGTTAAATTTGATCCTTACAATAGAAATAGCTCATGACTCATAAATCATAGCATATACTCGAATGATATGAATCAATAAATATACTCATCGAAAATTAATGACTCGCTCACTTGTAGCATTCGTAAAAACTTTGTGTGAAAGTTGATGTTTCCTAAGCAAAATTCAGTTTCTCCAAAATGGTTCAGATGGAATAGGCCATCGGATTTGTATCTGGCTAAATCTAAAGCCATTGTGTGAACGAAATAAAATATTGAACATGATTTTTGTCACCTTTATTGGTTCACAACAGCTTCATGAAACGGCGCCCAGTCTTGTTGGAACGATCATGGTCTACGACAGAAATTGTGCCCAAGGCTCTAAAGTAACTTTCAAAACATTTTTTCAATATCAAATTGCAAAGACCTTGACATCAGACTTAATGAAAACGATTGGAGAGTGTCCATTGGCGGTCACAGCTGCCCATGCCATTACTTGAGATAGAAAATTACTTCAGATGGTCACTCATATTCTCAAATTTTCGGCAGTGTGGGTAGCTAAATAAACACGATCATTTTGAGAGTTTATGAACTGTCCAATGGGGAAATTATTTTCATCAGAGAACACAATGTTTGGAAATTCGCAACAGTCATGCAAGCGTAACAACTTTTTTACTCTTTCGAGTATAACTTTTTGTTGCTTTGGTGTAAGATCTTGTGCCTTTTGCAATTTGTAAGGCTTTATCTTGAGCTCATGGGGAATATTCGTCGGATGCTTTGCTAGGATATTTTCAGTTCTTGTATTTGATTACCACTACGAAGTGGATTTCGACCCTTCACTTTCCAAACCATTTCAGGTGATGTTGTTTTTTTTTTTCGTCCACTATCATAGCGTTTGGCAACGCTGCCTGTACTGTTGTAATGATTTATGATACGATAAAAAAAAATTTTATTTACTATAAGGTTATTGAGCTTACGAACACTATCTGGTATTGATTTTCTACACAAATATAACGCAATCACACTATTACGTTTCAATTCGAATAATTTCGAATTTCGAATAACTTTTGTTCTATTATAGCTATAACTTATGTGATAGCTTGTAAACAATATAAACAGTTGTCATTAGTATGAATTTCACGTATTTAGCAATATCAGTTTGACAAATATATTCTATTATTATCTAATATTTTCATAGCAACATAAACAAATAAACAATTTTGTTAAAATTACAAATAAATGATTTTAAAATCTGGTATATTTTTCAAGCAAGTAATTGGCGCATAAACATAAAAACGCCCTGCAATATTTTTCAGATCACTCCATATTAATAATATAATTTTCATGCGCCAACGGTTTATATTTTATTTTAAGGAGAGGGATAAGTTTAGGTAGTGCTATTGTCGAACGCATTAGCTAGTGAATAAACGTATAAAAGAAATTTTATTGCAACAACCCTGCCCAACACTGAGTACATGTTAGCAAAATAAAGAACAAGAACCCGGTGTGGTTACAAAATATGTCTACAAGCCCTCAATTGGGTTAAAACTGGATTCCAAGTTTTTATTAATTTGTTGCAGTAAAATCCCAACTACGACTGCTTAGACTGCTTGTTTTGGTCGAATTCAAGTTTTGGTTTTATGCCTTTACTGATATTGGTCTGCATTCATTGTGATTTTTATAAATATCAGAGCAGGGGTGATCGTCTCCATGTGATGAAGCCTAGGTAACGCTAAATGATTT